ACCTTAATCAAACACACCTGAGCATGTCTTCAGGATCATTAGAAAATCACAGGTGGGTGAGTTTGATCAAAGTTGGAGCTAAACTCTGCAGGAAAGTGGATCTCATGAGCCATATTTGAGGTGTAACAGACATGAGCCTGTTAATAAGAATTTTGTGGGCAGTTTTCTTCCTTACCACTAGGGGTGCTAGGGTGTTTTAGGTTTCCTTATGTAAAGCCATGTGGTAGAAGGAGTTAGCAATAGCAAGCAGCAGTAGCCAGCATGGCTCACCTGCTGAACACATTGTGCTGTGTCCTGGTTGGGAAATGTGTCATTTCAAGCCCAGTCTTTTTTTTTTTTTTCCCTTTTTAAAAGTGTACATTGCTGATGTTTTTTGCAGAGATGTTACACGTATGTATGGCCTATGTTTGGATTAATGCTAAGAGTTTAAGACAGTGTATTTGTATACATTTTAGAAGGACTCTTTATTGGTGAGGCTACCACATCATGGTCCAGTTTGAATACGGATTTAAAGTTCTTTTCGACGTGAGATAGTCTGGACTATTTTTGACTTTTCCTGGTTAGGAAGAGTCTGGTGTTTGAGAGCTGTGGCGTGTTTTCATTACAAGAGGTTGGATTATTAATTTGCTATCAGCCAACTTCAGCTATGGACAATATTTGGACATTCATGTACTACAGATAAGACTTTCGCACACGTCAACTTTTCACATGACGAAATCCTACAATCTTACATTGCTTTGTTTGCTTTCTTTTATTTTTTTTTTACTTTTGTGTATTTGCATTTTGAGCTATGTGTAGCTGCATAATGTTTTCTATTTTGTATTTAATAAATCAATTGATTTGAAATCCCTTTGACTACTGTATGTTTTTGACAATATAGACATTAGTTATGTGGTGACTGCATCCATTTCAGATGTGTATAACTGTTTTTCCCAAAGACTTAAGTTATAGTATCTGAAAAGTATTTAACGTGAAACAGATGTACTGTTATAGATCAGGGGTGACCAACCCTGTTCCTGGAGATCTACCTTCCTGCAGAGTTCAGTTCCAACCCTGATCAAACACAGCTGAACCAACTAATTAGGATCTGAGGGAGCACTTGATAATTGCAGACAGGTGTGTTTGATCAGGGTTGGAACTGAACTCTGCAGGAAGGTAGATCTCCAGGACCAGGATTGGGCACCCCTGTTGTAGATTATTAGTGTGGGCCTAGTGAGGGCTTCCTGGGGGCTAAGTGAGGGCTGCCTGTGCAGGGCCAGCACTAAGGGGCCAACGTTTTGACAATGAGCTAAATCTCAGAGGCCCTGCGCTGGCAGCCTGCTGGGGGCCCTTAGGCTAGCCCTAAGTGGGCCCGTAAAGGGCCAGTGCAGGCTTGTTTGCAGGGAAGCCCTCTGTTTTAGTCACTTTGCTGTCCAGTATTGTTTGCGGTTTATGGTGTGTTGTATTTATTATTAAAGACTGTGTGTTGGAATTCTCATGGGTTGTGCGCTTGGCTATCAGCAACACATAACAAATACATTATTGTTATGACATACTAAATGTATTCTAGTCACATTGACTGTTTCCACATTCAGAGACTATAGGATCTTTATTGACATCCCTGTACTTGGAAACTTTTGGAATGATTGTGGCTGGTGTGAAGGACAGGAAAGCGCTGTGAGGCCAGTGAACTGAACGCATAGGACATTAAGAATACATTCATCACTTACATTTAGGAGAGCTGGTGTAATGGTAGTAATCAGACTCTGAGTGCTGGTAGTGTTCAGGCGAGTAGGCTGATGGGAGTTTGGACGATTGGACAATGTCCTCACTGGTCTTGCTCTTGGTTGCTGGATTGCAGTGATTGTCTGTGGGGAGAGTATGTCAAGATTATATCTTTGGAAAAGCTTGAGATATAACAGCACACAGTAGTACAATCAGGCCCCCTTTACATCTAACATTAGTATGCATTTTCAGTGATCGCACAATCCACATCAAAAACCAGCTGTAAGTGCACCCAAGATGCTTTGTGATCATGAACATGACCTACTTTTAGCAGGTCCTAAAAGTAGATCTCATCACCTGATTTGAACAATATTGAATACATTACTCCTCTGAACTGCATTTGGAATCTCTTGTTTTGCTTCCCAAATCCTCACTAATGCTTCTTCTAGTCTATTTTCACACGGATATTTTAACTTTTTTTTTGCTTGATTTTCTTCCCTTCTAGACCATATTAACGTCCTTTACTGGTGACATTATTTAATATAGGTAAACACATCTGTATTCAATCACTACAGACATTGGAACTCAACCTAAGTAATGCTAATGCTAATGCAATGCTAGGTGTTAAGGGGGCATCAGAAAGAAAGATACAACGCTCACAAAACAGCCCAGAAGGAAATGACTTTAACACAATCCACAACACTCAATATTAAGCATCTGTATTTATATAAATGAGATATTGAATAAGCACAGAAAACACTTTAAAACTCTGTATTATTAGAAACGACACATATATTGATATATTGCCTTTCAAATCTAAAGCAAAACCAGTCAAAAACAGCACTGAACTCCCATCCATATAAAACAACACACAAGAAGATTCAACACAAATACAGAAGCACAGGCCTCACAGAATATTACCAATCCCTAATGGAAAAGACTTCACAGGGATGAGAGACGGAATGCAAGTGAGGGACTGGAGATCATTCGAACAAACAAACAACCCAAAACGCAGTCAGACAGATGTGCAGGGAGAGAGAATACTTACAGAGTGAATGGTGACCGAGGAAAGCAGAGGTGGAGGGAATTGTATTTAAGGTGGTGAGGGGAAAAAAACAAGGGGAAAAAAAAGAATAAGGGAAGAAATATTTGCATCCCAAAGAGTCTTCAGTGAGATTTTAAGTTTGGTACCCATATGGCAGAGAAGCAAATGATCTGCATGACAACTGTATAAGTCTTCTGCAGAAACACAGCTAGACATCTACAACAATATAACACTTTTCACTTACACATGCAGATCCACCATATGGGTAGCAAAATATTCCTTGTAAAGTGTTCATTACAGGCTTGTGACACGAGGATAAATGCAAATACACACTTGACTACACACAAAATGTAAACTGAGCCAACAAGCTCTCAGAGATGGTTCTGACCTTTCTTAGAGATAACTTGATGGACTGTGCAAGTATCTGAACTGGCCAGTAAATAAATCTGCAGTATTAGTGCAGCTCTGTGCAACTAACAAACAACCCAAAACGCAGACAGACAGATGTGCAGGGAGAGAGAATACTTACAGAGTGAATGGTGACCGAGGAAAGTAGAGGTGGAGGGAATTGTATTTAAGGTGGTGAGGGGAAAAAAACAAGGGAAAAAAAAGAATAAGGGAAGAAATATTTGCATCCCAAAGAGTCTTCAGTGAGATTTTAAGTTTGGTACCCATATGGCAGAGAAGCAAATGATCTGCATGACAACTGTATAAGTCTTCTGCAGAAACACAGCTAGACATCTACAACAATATAACACTTTTCACTTACACATGCAGATCCACCATATGGGTAGCAAAATATTCCTTGTAAAGTGTTCATTACAGGCTTGTGACACGAGGATAAATGCAAATACACACTTGACTACACACAAAATGTAAACTGAGCCAACAAGCTCTCAGAGATGGTTCTGACCTTTCTTAGAGATAACTTGATGGACTGTGCAAGTATCTGAACTGGCCAGTAAATAAATCTGCAGTATTAGTGCAGCTCTGTGCAACTCTGAAACAAATTAATCTCCCTTATGCCTTCTAGAGCTCTGTGGTTGTATACTGTCCATGCTAATTGGCAGGCCTACACAGAATCTCGACCAGAAGCTTTGAAGAACTCAAACGGCCATCGTTTACAAAGTTCTATATATCCCTTGCCCCCCGTGTGTTTGTCTTTTAAACATTTTAGCTGAGTTGATGCTGTTAGCAACCAATAAATGTCTAGTGCGCTTCATTCCATTTAACATCATTTAGTATACTTCAACTCATTCCACAGATTTTATCCCTCAAAAAAGGTCAGAACTGCACAGAAAATGTCTGAAGTATTGGAACAACTATTATTCAGACAATATTGCACACCATACCACGTTTAAAGCCATTTCACAATTTCCCCTAAAGAAAATGTGGACAAAGATTATATCTGGTCCTATAGTATATATTACAGGACTCAATAGTTTCAAGCCAGCTGATTGCTGTGAAAATTTGTCTTTTGATATTTGTCAACATAAAACATGTTTCATGTATTATTATTATTTGTATTATTATCAGTGTTGGAGAAAATCACTATTAAAAGTAATGCATTACGATACTGCGTTACTCCATAAAAAGTAACTAATTGTGTTACTTAGTAATTTTTTTATGGTAAGTATTGCTCTACATTGCTTTCGTGTTACTTTTTGTCAGTTGGGTTGGGCATGCTTATTTGTTTTTTAATAACAAAAAACACTAAAGTTATATTTTGGGTAACTGTAAGAGCCCTTTCACACCAAAAGTGATATTAATAAGGTATCGGTGAATAAATGGGAAAGCAAAGTAACTTGCGTTACTTATTTGAAAAAGTAACTCAGACATTTCATTGTAAATTTAAAAGTAATATGTTACATTACTAGTTACATAAAAAAGTAATCTGATTATGGTACTTGTAATGCGCTACCCCAACACTGATCATTATTATTATTATTATCCTTCATTTTTTGTTCCTGACAAAAATACATAAAGTATGAAATAATATTTTTCTGGATTACATTAAAATACATAACTTTTTTGGTGGGGTGAAAACACTGGCATGGCAAAAAATCTGAACTGTTGAGCCCAGATAAAATCCTTAATGTTGAGCCCTTTATTACCCATTAACCTACTTTATTATCTTTAAAATATATCAGGTATAATGTTATTATTTATTATTTTGTTATAATCAAAAACAAGGATCATAATTAATCATACGGAAAATGGCACAAGTCTGTAATGCACATTTATACAGAATATACACACATAAATACACACACAGAGACATGCAGTTAAGGGAAAGATGTACTATTACTATTGTTGAGTTAAAGGGTTAGAGTTCATGGCATTTTGAGGACATACTAACCAATGTACTTGACAAAAAGTTGTGAGATTGTAAATTTATGAATGAACAGACAGAGATATGCACATAAACAACAATCTATCAAATGATTTGCCACCAAATAACTAACAGAAGTAGTGTAGGGACTTACCTAGTCCCTACAGTACATGTAACATTCAGTGTGTTATCAGAAACAATATGGCTGCCATTTGAACTCTGTGAACTACCGTAGGATGTTTAGACTTTCACGCTTGCTCATTTCATGCTTAAACAGGTTTGCCTTCCTAACAGCGGTTTCTCAACAGAGTTGAGCGTAACTTCAGTGGGGCTTCTCTGTGGCATCTAATGCGGTCACTTCCCAGTCGATCTAAAGCAGAGGGGGGGCATGGCAAGTTTTAACCATGCCTCAGCAAGCCTCATCCTTTCTTCATCACCCTCCTGTAGAAGCAAGGATGCACTCGTGCCAGTTCTACATTCTTCTGTCATGCACGAAACGGAAAGCAGGATGCACTCTGATGCTTGAGCAGAAAGGACAATTTCTTATCCTTTTTTCACCTAAGACATACAGTTCCAAGAAATAAAGAATGTGAATCCATTTGATTTACATTATTTTCTTAATATATTGGTCATAAAATAGTAGATAAACACAGTTTGCTTAAACAAACAGGCAAAATTTCTCCTGACCGTTGCAGATCTGCAATTATAGAAAACGTGTGGCAGTTATATAAAAAGCATTTATTTTATATATAAGTATTTACATACTTTTTCTATTTTGCACTGGTTCACTGAAGATGGAAAGATGTATAACAGTTTGTCTAATATTTTTTTAAGCAGACTGTATTCATCTATTGTTATGATTTATATCAGAGATCAGATCAAATTCAATGACCAATTTATACAGAATACTAGTTCAATCCAAAAAGGTTCACATACGTGTTCTTGCAACTGTATTAAGCTACTTCTAACATGTGTACCATGGTATATACTTCATTTGTGCACGCCAAATCCTCTAGTAATTTAATATGAGCTGTTTTTCTTCCTCATTTGCTCACTACTTCTCTTAAAGTCTTTTAGACTAAAGGGTTTGCTGGAGGACAGCTATGGAGGACACTAACACTAATCAGACACATCTTTCCCAAGAGCCCACACAGCCTCAGGACTGAGCGTGAGGGAAAACAGGCCAGAGCAGGCCGAGTACACTATACCATGTCTCTTATAGATGGGAGGCTTCCTGTAGATGTTGGGCTCCCCTGTGGCTGAGAAGAAAGGGAGAGATTAGAAATAAAACATGGAGGAGATGTAAGTGACAGGCAGAAGAAAGCAAAGTAAACGGGGCAGGAAATGCTTTTTTGTTCTTCCTTTTCAGGCTTCCAGGGACCTTTAGGGTAAGGTGGAGGAGAGTGGAACAGTTGAAGAGAACACAAAAAAGGAGTACAGCCATACTACAGATGTATAGCATAGACATATTCAACAGTTACAGAGACTTTGATTCTTTAACGAGACTTTAATTTATATTCATATATACTGCTGGATGAATATGACAATGATGACAGCAGCCAATGAGGTGAATGTCGAGGCCTGGCCTACCTGGCACATGGAAATGCTTGGGAGCTTGGTTTGTGGTGGGCGTGCTGGACCGGGCATCTAGCTGATTGTAATAGGGTGAACTTCTGCCACTCTCAGTGCCTGTAGCAAGCCCCAAGCCAATGACAGTAACAGAACCAGAGCATGAGTGCACACTTCCTGTGCGCCCTAACTACACACACTCAATCATCACACCGGCGATCATCAGATCAATGATCCAAGATTAGCCAGGCAGGGACAGTATGCATTTCAAAACAGAAGAAAAGACATACTGTGCCAGACAGAGGGGTGCATAGGATGTGGGTGGAATGGCGGGACACACTCCCAAATAACAGCCAAACATATCCCACATAAAAAGCCTATAAAGCTTATTTTGGTTAAAGTCAACATGAAATCTCTTACTGTGCTCTTGTTGTAAATAATTCATCACAATCTCATTATTTTTAAAATTTATAATTTATATTCATATATACTGCTGGATGAATATGACAATGATGACAGCAGCCAATGAGGTGAATGTCGAGGCCTGGCCTACCTGGCACATGGAAATGCTTGGGAGCTTGGTTTGTGGTGGGCGTGCTGGACCGGGCATCTAGCTGATTGTAATAGGGTGAACTTCTGCCACTCTCAGTGCCTGTAGCAAGCCCCAAGCCAATGACAGTAACAGAACCAGAGCATGAGTGCACACTTCCTGTGCGCCCTAACCACACACACTCAATCATCACACCTGCGATCATCAGATCAATGATCCAAGATTAGCCAGGCAGGGACAGTATGCATTTCAAAACAGAAGAAAAGACATACTGTGCCAGACAGAGGGGTGCATAGGATGTGGGTGGAATGGCGGGACACACTCCCAAATAACAGCCAAACATATCCCACATAAAAAGCCTATAAAGCTTATTTTGGTTAAAGTCAACATGAAATCTCTTACTGTGCTCTTGTTGTAAATAATTCATCACAATCTCATTATTTTAAAAATGTATTTCATCAAAATTGAATAACTTTTTGGGTCACATCACAACTTTAAGATTCAATCAATTCCAGATGAATAAAGTACTGTCTTTCCCAGTGTTGATATTGTTAACTAAATTAATTAAAATATATTTCCGTTAATTGAAATAAAGCTGAAACAAAATAAAATAATCACAAATGAGAATGAAATTTATAAAATTTATTTCATCAAAATTGAATAACTTTTTGGGTCACATCACAACTTTAAGATTCAATCAATTCCAGATGAATAAAGTACTGTCTTTTCCAGTGTTGATATTGTTAACTAAATTAATTAAAATATATTTCCGTTAATTGAAATAAAGCTGAAACAAAATAAAATAATCACAAATGAGAATGAAATTTAGAAATGTTGCATTGGTGACTAACTGAAATAAAACAAGTTGAAGTTGAAGTACTAAAAGTACTAGCAAATTACAACTGAAATAAAAATAAAGATAAGTAGAAATATAAAAAATTATAAAATGATAAAAACATGACAAAATTACTCAAACTAAAATTAAAATTAAAACTGAAAATATAAAAATAAAAGGTACTTCAAAATACGAATAAATACTATAATAGTATCTAAATAATACTAAAATAGCACTTCTCCTTTCTCTTTTGTCACTGAACGTCCCGTTTTACTTGTAAATAAATCACATTACAAAACTGGTTGTGAATATCATTTCATGCTGACTTTAAAATCACTATCAGTACTCAACATCAGTCACTACACTCTCATATAAAAGATACAAAAGCTGTACTGGAGTGGTACCTTTTCAAAAGGTAAACATTTGTACCTTATTTACCCATAAAGGATGCATACTGATACCTTAAATGTACATATCAGTACCTAAAATGTACAGTACATATTAGTACCTAAATGCAAGGGTACTGCCCCAGTAACAATACTCTTGCAAAAGGTTTTGCACTTTTTTTCTGAGAGTGTTTGCTATGTCCTTGCTATATAACGGCAAACCACAATTTTATGTATACAGGCAAAGCAAGAAATGTATAGTATATTTTCCACTATACTGCATATTCAGTATAGTTCTCAAGCCATTCCTGCTGAAAAGACCAGCTTAGACCAGTATGCTGATTCAAGCTGGTTAGTGCTGGTCCACTATCCATGTAGTTTACCAGCAAGAAATGCTGGTCAACTTGCATAGTTTTCTGATGAAGTCGCAAGCTGGTTACACCAGCATCCCATAAATCAGGGATGAGAGTGTATTTTTTGTTTCTGCTCAGCAGCAGGGACTCACCGTATCTGTAGTAGTGCTGTGGAGAGCGGGGCATGATGGGAGACATGCCCTGTCTGCTGTAGGTGGGGGAGTCTATGTACCCCGGACTGGAGGATCTTCTCATCCTCATGTCCATACTGTCATACATGTCCTAGTCACATAAAATGTCATTATTCATAACTATGACTGTGAGAATCTCTCATTTTTATTTACTCAGTGACCAAAATGATTCATAGAGCAACAACTGTCAATTTAACACACTTAATCACACACTTACGTGCTAAATCTACTTTAGACAGTTTGATAGCTTGGTTGCAAAATATATTGCTATGGACTTAACACAGTAAATTTGAGTCAAAACTTTTACCTGAGAATAAGGGGAGAGTGTGCCCAAAGACTGTGGAGACAAAAAAAGGAGAGAGTGAGTACAACAGTAAATCAGAGATAAACCTTCAGTCTCTTCCTCCATGACATCTGATGTGTAAGGGGAGTGAAAAGAGCAAGAGGACGGAGGTGAAGGAGCCACTGTGATCAGACCAACCTATTTTGCATCTCCTGCAGAACTGTAGAACTCAACATTATCTACTCGGCAAACATAAATTCAAGAGATAGTTCACCCAGCTATAGATAGTTCATCCTATCATTTATTCAGTCTCATGTCATTCCAAACTCTATGATTTTTCTTCTATATACTACAAACAAAATTATTAAGTAGCTTGTGGTCACAGTTCGCTTCAATGTAAAAACCAGAGCAGCATCGACATTCTGCTAAACATCTCCTTTTGTGTTCCTCAAACATCATACAGGTTTAGAACAATATGAGGGGGAGTAAATGATAGAATTGCGAATTTTTGGGTGAACTGTCCTTTTAAGCAACATCACACAAATCGCTAGCGTTTTTCAGAGAGCTTTCCAAAAGCAAACTAAAGCAAGGTGGCTCAACCAAAAGCACTCATATTCACTATTAATAGTGGGAGAAAGGCACAACATAGTGCTTCAGCAAACAAAAGCATACAACCAGCCAACGAATGCAACATAGATGAGAAACTCAAAGCTAAGTTCGGCTAGGACCAGGCCACTAGATCTGGCAACAGGGGGAGACATGCTAAAAGTCAACCCAGAGTGGCTCTAGTGGTCCTCTAGGGCAGTACCTCCCCAAAGCTGAGACGCTCTAGTCTGTCATAAATGTACAGTTTGCAAGGGTACTGCCCCAATTAAAGTTTTTGTACCTTTTTTTCTGAGTGTTTGCTATGTAACTGGACACCACATTTTATAAAACGTATAAAGAAGGCAAAGCAAGAAATATATAGTATATTTTTCCAATATACTGCATATTCAGTATAGTTCTCAAGCCATTCCTGCTGAAAAGACCAGCTTAGACCAGTATGCTGATTCAAGCTGGTTAGTGCTGGTCCACTATCCATGTAGTTTACCAGCAAGAAATGCTGGTCAACTTGCATAGTTTTCTGATGAAGTCGCAAGCTGGTTACACCAGCATCCCATAAATCAGGGATGAGAGTGTATTTTTTGTTTCTGCTCAGCAGCAGGGACTCACCGTATCTGTAGTAGTGCTGTGGAGAGCGGGGCATGATGGGAGACATGCCCTGTCTGCTGTAGGTGGGGGAGTCTATGTACCCCGGACTGGAGGATCTTCTCATCCTCATGTCCATACTGTCATACATGTCCTAGTCACATAAAATGTCATTATTCATAACTATGACTGTGAGAATCTCTCATTTTTATTTACTCAGTGACCAAAATGATTCATAGAGCAACAACTGTCAATTTAACACACTTAATCACACACTTACGTGCTAAATCTACTTTAGACAGTTTGATAGCTTGGTTGCAAAATATATTGCTATGGACTTAACACAGTAAATTTGAGTCAAAACTTTTACCTGAGAATAAGGGGAGAGTGTGCCCAAAGACTGTGGAGACAAAAAAAGGAGAGAGTGAGTACAACAGTAAATCAGAGATAAACCTTCAGTCTCTTCCTCCATGACATCTGATGTGTAAGGGGATTGAATAGAGCAAGAGGACGGAGGTGAAGGAGCCACTGTGATCAGACCAACCACCTATTTTGCATCTCCTGCAGAACTGTAGAACTCAACATTATCTACTCGGCAAACATAAATTCAAGAGATAGTTCACCCAGCTATAGATAGTTCATCCTATCATTTATTCAGTCTCATGTCATTCCAAACTCTATGACTTTTCTTCTATATACTACAAACAAAATTATTAAGTAGCTTGTGGTCACAGTTCGCTTCAATGTAAAAACCAGAGCAGCATCGACATTCTGCTAAACATCTCCTTTTGTGTTCCTCAAACATCATACAGGTTTAGAACAATATGAGGGGGAGTAAATGATAGAATTGCGAATTTTTGGGTGAACTGTCCTTTTAAGCAACATCACACAAATCGCTAGCGTTTTTCAGAGAGCTTTCCAAAAGCAAACTAAAGCAAGGTGGCTCAACCAAAAGCACTCATATTCACTATTAATAGTGGGAGAAAGGCACAACATAGTGCTTCAGCAAACAAAAGCATACAACCAGCCAACGAATGCAACATAGATGAGAAACTCAAAGCTAAGCTCGGCTAGGACCAGGCCACTAGATCTGGCAACAGGGGGAGACATGCTAAAAGTCAACCCAGAGTGGCTCTAGTGGTCCTCTAGGGCAGTACCTCCCCAAAGCTGAGACGCTCTAGTCTGTCATCGGAGCAGTATCTGTGACTGGGCTCATTGGACCAGAAGTCTGGCCTCTGCACTTCATAAATGGCTTTAACCTTAGGTAGCGCCGCCAAGTCTTTGTAATCAAGGATCTCGTTCTCCATTTTTGCCTGAGGAGGAGGGACACGTGACAGATACACACACTCACACGTCAAATGCAATGGGCAGGCCTGAAAAAAACAGCAATGATGACAGGCGACAGCAACATTAACAATAAAATTAAGTGTGGGAATAAACCCGCGGCACAGTTGGCACACTTTAAAGCAAGTGCCGTTAGAATACAATTGAGCTCATGATTGAAACTGTAATATAGCACATAAATGCTACAAAAATGTCATAGTGGATTTGATAAGACTGCTTATGACATCATTTTTGTGGGATACGTATAAAGTTAACATGCAAACTGAAGTTTCTGTTTTTATTTTGGATGTATAAACTACATGACCCAAATACTATTTCAAGGGATAGTTCAACCAAAAATTAAAACCATCATCATTTACCCACCCTCATGTCATTTCAAACCTGTATGACTTAAGTGAAACAAAAAATATATTTTGAAAAATGTCTCCATGCCCCCCCCCCCCTCCATACTATGTAAGGGTCCAGTGTTGTTTTGGACCAAACTGACCTTCATTGTATGGACAAAAACAGTTTAAATGTTTTACAAAGCATTTTATTTTGTGTTCAACAGGATAAAGAAAGTCTTACTGATTTGGAACGACACAAGGGTGAGTAAATGATGACACACTTTCATATTTGAGTGAACTATCCCTTTAAAATTTTTAAATTGGTTTCTTTCTTTACCAATGATCCAAGATAGTATTTTAAGGGTTTCATTTCTATTTGAATCTCATAGATGTACAGCTTGACCTTCAGCACGTGTCACGCTTGACCTTCAGCAGAATATGGAGCTGAAGGGCTTGTCAGCGTATATGCTTACAATGTGTTATGCATACATCAATCACACACACACTGCACAAAGGTTACACACTCGGGCTGGCCTTTACTTCCACATGTGATGTTAATGACGGCACCACTGCAGAACGCACGCAAACACATTATGAACAAGCCAATAAACTCAAGCACGAGAGTCATCCATCTTGAGATGGCCAATAATACTTACATTTATGCATTTGACAGATGCTTTTATCCAAAGCAACCTTCAGTGCATTCAAGCTATAAATTTTATCAGTACATGCATTCTCTGGAAATCAAACCTGTAACTGTCATGTACCATGATGTACTAGTTGAGAAACCACACGAATCTTCATGGCATTTTACACTACCAATCCAGTGTTTGGGGTTAACAAGATTTTTTTATCTTGTCTCTTAAGTCTCTTATGCTCACCAAGGGTGCATTTATATGATCAAAAACACAGTAAAAACTGTAATATTGTGAAATATTATTATAATTTTAAATATTTTTTTTCAATTTTAATGTATTTTAAAATGTAATTTATTCCTGTCATGCAAAGCTGAATTTTCAGCAGCCGTTACTCCAGTCTTCAGTGCCACATGATCCTTCAGAAATAATTCTAATATGCTGATTTGAAACATTTCTTATTATCAATGTTGAAAAGCTGTGCTGCTCACTATTTTTATGGAAACCAAACCAAGAAATAAAACAGCATTTATGTGAAATAGGAATCTTTTGTAACATTATAAAAGTCTTTACTGTAACTTTTAATCAGTTTAATGCATCCTTGCTCAAGTATAAGTATTCTCTCTCTCTCTCAAAAAATAAATAAATAAAAAAAACTTACTGACCCCAAACTTTTACTACTTTTAATGGCAGTGTATGTCAAATATTGTAACAATAAAAGAACAGTTCATTCAAAAAAGGATGTTCTGTCATTATTTATATAATCAATTTTGGTAATTTGGTGATAACTGTACAGTGTTTTTGTGTTCCACAAAATAAATACAGTCATACAGGTTTGGATCAACATGACAGTGAATAAAAGGTGACTAAATTTTCATTTTTGGGTGAACTGTCCCTTTAACTTGTACCTAACATTAATATGAACACATGTCAAAATAACGACAAAAAGTATCATAATTTTAAAATCAAATGTTCTGATTTTGTATCATTTACAGATCTGTCATTTTCTTTCGAGCTGGACAGTGTATGGCTACTTACACAGATGACTCTGCTGGGTGAACTAATGCTAGAGCCTGGCGGAGAGATGGAGGTTTCTGATGTGCGTCTGAGCTGTAAAATAAAATAAGGAAGAAAACAGAAGAGCTTCAGAGTGAGATCTGCAGGAATTTTGAAAATCAGTTTAACTGTTAAAAAAAAAGACATTTACTCTCAGTTTCCTCTCTGCTCGAGATGCTTGTTTACACACAGGATGCCACACCTCTGAACCTGAGAAACAGAGCCAAACAAAGAGGAGAACGTTAGATACAGCGCATAAAACTTCTAATCCAGCCATGTGTTCACTGAAGACACTTTAAGATGACTTGATTTAAAACGTAAAAAGTGGGATTATGAGATTAAACCACATGGATTTCAGTTGACCATGACCAGTAAGATTTTTTTTTTAATTTAGCAAGGATACATTAAAAAGAGCAAAAGTTACAGTAAAGACCTTTACATTGTTACAAAATATTTCAAATAAATGATGTTAAAAGATTATCAGTTTCAACATTTATACTAATAAAACATTTCACTAACATGTTAAATTGTAATAATATTTCAAAATATTACTGTTTCACTGTATTTTTTGATGCAGACTTAGTGAGAATAAGAGACTTCTTTCAAAAACATAAAATATTAAAATAAAATATCTTACTGAACCCAAACTTTTAATCATTAGGATATAAAAGTGGTATTAAATTTAAATCATACTTCTACATTTTATAAACTGAATTATATATATATATATATATATATATATTTTTTTTTTTTTTT